CAACGTACAATACGGTACGATTTACAGTTCTGCGTGGCTATACATATATGGCGCATACACGCGTGTGTGCCAATATTGCGTGAAATGTCGAGAAGTGTGGGAAAAATCGTCGAAGGGATACGCGCCCGTATACGTGGGAGACCGCGCGGTCATGTACAATGGGTTGGAACGCGAAATGTCCTCTCTCGCCCGGTTTTATTCCCCTGTTTACGAGACCTTTCTCGCGCGACAACGTCGCGCGCTTACGAGTCACGCGTGTCTCATTTGCTTCTATACGGTCGCACTGAAAAGTATTTACTACGTGCGCTAAATTTCTGGCCTTCGAAGAGCTGCAGAAAATCGAAGGAAGATCGCGAGAAAGAAGGCTCGCTTTAAAGATTGAAGGTCTACGTCTTCGCCGACGCATCCTAGCATTTCTTCTTGGATATTGTTGCACGACGTGGTTTTTTTTGTTCATTGAAATGATTCAAGTTCGAACGATTTCGGGAATATTGGATAATTTTTCTTGTGACCGAATTTGCGGTAGATTTTTTAAGTGCTAAGCTTCGCCTTCGAATCAAAGCAATTGGAATTTGATGTGCGATTTGTTTCAGCGATTTTTTTTTTTTTGATGAAACGTGAATGAGGTTTTAGTTACTGTATTGTGTGTTATAATGTAATGTTATATAGTTGACGGATCGAAGAAACGATGTAGGGAATCTGTAATCAAGTTTCGATCGATTTTCGGTCGAGTTTCGGTCGAGTTTCGGTCAACTTTCTTCAGGTCTAACTAACTTCAGCCATGAAACAAATTTTCCAACGTTTCTAGAGACGTTCTAAATTGTAGCACTTCCTTGGAAAGAAACGTATCTCTGATTTTTAACTTATCACGTCACGAAATGTCACCTCAAACTCTGAAACAAGTCCGAGTTTATCGCTGAAACGAGTCTCCTCGACGAAGTCGTAAAAATCTCGAAAATCCGAAATTCAGTGATCGAATACTTCTTACGAGCCGCTCCGTGTTGAAGCATAGCACTCGTGACTCCATATGCAGTCGCATACGCAGTGTGTGAAAGGTCTCGAACGTTTAAAAGGAAGAATTGAGACCTGAAGTTTCGAAACGTTGTTCTCAAGTTAGCCTTTAGTTGTCAGGAAGAATCGATGAACCGATGATGATGAACAGTGGAAACGATGGAAATTTTGCAGGTGAAAATACTCGTCAAGATTTCTTCCTACCACTTAATTAATTGTAATCGTAATCGTTCTCTAAGGACATATATCATATATATATTGGGTTGGCAACTAAGTAATTGCCGATTTGTTCAATGAAATAAAAAATTTCTTTTTACTTGGAACGAAGTTTAATCTGTAATGTATTTTCCATTTTGTTCGATGACCTTTTGCCATCTCTCCGACAACTTGAAAATTCCACGCTCGTAGAAAGTCTGATCCTTTTCGGCCAAAAACTGAGT